TTATATATATTTATATATATATATATATATATATATATATTAAAAACGTCACCACAATATTAATTGTAAGATTAAAGAAAATATATGCATAAATTATGTTCTTTTAATTACTCTAATGAAAATATAAATGCTTCTTGGAGTGTCCACGTCTTTATAACAATTTAATGTCATTTGTCCATATGTATTCAACATTCTTAATATTAAAAAAATAAATAAAACAAATATCACTGGTTAATTTGACTCAAAAAGATTAGGAAAATCCAATTGATTTAATTTCTCCAAACTCAGGAAAAACATAAAAAAAGCCACTGTCATCTTAAAATGAAAGAGATGATCTTGTAGTTCTTGGTCTGGATGGAAATAAAGTATATTTTCATTACATGATTTATTAGATAATGAAAACAGAAGATGTGAAAAACTATTTCAAACTCAAAAAAATTACAAAAATAAACAGTTCAAAAAAGCTCATGCTAACTTAAGGAAAGTTCAAACAGAAACAGAAAGAGTTGTCTCGCACTTCTAAATATTCTCTACATACCCACCTATGTCGGTTTCAGGTGCAAGTACCATTTGTTGAATATCGCTTGAGCTTTTTTGGGGGAGTATGACACAGATTACTTCAACTCTGTAAATCGGGTTTTGCACGAGAATGGGCAAATTTGCCTACTATATTACCAAAATAGGCAAAGTCAAACAAATTTACGTAAATGGGGAAGTCGTGGGGGGCCCAAACGACTTCAAATGAAGAAGTCGTGCCCCCCTGCACGACTTCACACTGTAGATTACTACAGTGCTGAAGTCGTGCACCCCAAAAACGACTTCAGAGGACTGTAATCGATTACAGTGTGCTGGTAATCGATTACAACGTGTTGAAATCGTGGTCACCCAGCACGACTTCAAGTTTAATGGGAAAAAACGCACTGGTAATCGATTACGGCAGGTGTGTAATCGATTACCAGGTTGTTTTTGGTGGAAGATTGACACTGGTAAGCGATTACAGGGTCGTGGTAATCGATTACCAGTGAGTTTTTGGTTGGTTTATGAAATTTTGTATTGTAATTGTGGTGGATATTTTGAAGTTTATTAAGTGTGTTGATATGAAGTTGTGTAAGCACGCATTGTTGTTGATTACATTGTGATGTATTGTTTTGTATAGGAAGAGTATGTGATTTGATGTAATAGAAATAAGAGAATATCATAATATGAAAAGAGAAACGTAAATTAGTATTTTATTGAATGAAAAGTGCATTACATAAGGAAGAACAACCTAAAATGAATAGAAAATGACAGTACAAATTGAAAGGCATCTAGGAAGATGATCCACCGTGTGGACCAAAATGACGACGCAGATACTGGATGTCGTGCTCCACATTTTCAACTCTAGCATCAATAGTATCGAACCGGTCACCCATATTCAGCTCCAATTGTTCAAATCTTGCATTCATCGTTTCATAAGTGTATTGAAGCTGTCCCCAACAAATGTTCGGAGATCGTTTATCCCCGTCATGACATCATCAAATCTACTAGTTTGTTCTGGACGAACTGGTGGTAGTTGTAGTTCAGGAGGTGGGTGACGCTGACGTGGAGGAGGAGAATTTCTGTGCACCCATCTGTTGTCAGCATTTTGGATCAGTCCAAATGATTGTATGACTGCTCCTGATATCATCCAATGCCTAGTTGGTGGGACCGATATTTCATCCTCCAGTGGAACTTGAAAATGTTCCAAGATGCGGGTGACCAATGTTGGATATGGAAGTGGAGCACCGTCCCTCAAACCCTTCTTCATCCTATGTCGGATGAGATGGGTCCAGTTGATCTGCTTTGCCGTCATTATAACCCACATTATCAGAATATCTTCCTCGGTTGCCTGTGCAAAGTTAGAAACACGAGGAAACAAAACACGACATATAGTATAATGTAATACTCTAGCCTCAGTTGTCATATTCCCTGCTAGAAATCTAGTGGTAGGGCGATTGTGTGGCAAACAAATTAATTGTCTGGCTACGTTCATATTGAAATCATTGGCCCAATCCTCACATAATTTCCCTTCAAAGGGCAACCCAACCGAGGGAAGATTGGCTATAGCAGCGAAAATGCTGGGTTTGATAATAATTTGGACATTGTTGACCTCAGTTTTCATTGTGCCATTTTCAGAAAATTTGAGGTTACTATAAAATAGACGTACCAAATGAGGATTATATGGACTAAAATCGCAGCAAAATTCATCTAATCCCAAATTTTTTAGCATGCCAAAAAATTCAAAATCATGTGTCTCAAAATACTGCTCATCTAGATATTTTGGCTCAATGATTAGGCGGTCTTTGTATAGGGACAAATACCTTTGGGCTTGTGCAGGAGTTGAAAACTGAACATTGTGGTGTTCAGCGGTGGGTGACGGTGGTGGTGAGGGTGGCGGAGAGTTTTGTGGCGGTGAAGGTTGACGGCGGCGACGTCCCCCACCTGTAGAAGATGACCCCCTTACTCTTTGCCTTTTTAAAGATTCCGCCATTTCAAAATCCAATCGGTGCAAAGTGAAGAGAATTGAAAGGGGAGTGAAGTTAAGGTGTTTTAGAGTGAAAAAGGTGGAAGATTAGATGATTTTTGGAGGTTGGAGAGGGTGGAAAAACCCTTGTTGCCGCTGCTGCTCGAGTGGGAGGGGGTGTTGGTGCGTGAGGAGAGAGAAAAAGTTGAATATATAGAGTCTGGTCGGACGAGTATCGATTACAGGTTTTCCGTAATCGATTACAAGAGCCCACTGGTAATCGATTACCAAAACCATGTAATCGATTACCAGTCAGTCTGGTAAGGCCCAGTTTAAAAAATCCTGGAAGTCCTATGAGTGTTATTGTGGTAATCGATTACGGACTTCATGTAATCGATTAACAGTCAGTCTTGGCTGTGGATTTGGAAAATTTTTGACCTGTTACGTTAAATTAGTTATTGAATGCATTATGTATTAAAATTCCTTTGTATATAAAGTTCAATTGAATAAGGTAATATGACGATAATAGTTTATGATGTTATAAATGTTTTTAATTACTTTAAGAGAATTAAACAAATTACATATTTTTAAATAAATAAGGCAAGCAGTCTATCTATGTCCTCTAGTCCCACACGGTGGTCGTCGTCGTTGTCGTTGGGCTCGCCTTTGTGATTGTTGTTCAAGTGTGGGATCGTGCGTTGGTTGGTCTTCATCCGTCGGATCACTTTGATTGCACTGTTGAAGGCTTTGAAAGTCAAATGTCGGTCGATTCACGTTATGTGAGGATGAAGGGTGTACGTATGAAGATGGTGGAGTCATTGTGGTGGTTCCAAAATAATTGGATGGACCTCCACTGAACGGTGTGGATGGTGGAAAGGCGAAATAACCACTCTCAACCCCAGGATATGTTGGTGTCGGTGGAATGTTCTGTTGAAACCTTGAATTTACAGCTGGATGTTGATAGTTGCCATGGTCAGAGGTAGACCTTTGTGGATCATGATATGAAGAAGATGCACGGTGTTGAGATGGCGGGTGGAAGTGTTCGTCGTGGTCCATGTCATACTGCCAAACACAATTTGTGATGTTCATAACACAAGATATGAACACTATCATAATTTTTATGGAGGGAATATTGTAGTACCTCAGAGTCCGTTGAATCTTCTATTAAACCAATGTAGCGGATGGTATGAGTTATATACCACTGCATATACTCCGATTCATCTCGCAAGTGACCATTTTTCTGAAAAGGTATCCCGTTGAACACACGATTATGCCGGTCATTCCACAATGCAATCCACTGGTGATGGTGTTCATGCCAATTCCAATCAGCGCGTCCTCTCATATCCAATTTATGTTCCTCATCTAGATTCATTGGTGGATGGGGAACATTTTGTCTAAAACCAAATTGTTGCATGACCCGGTTTGATTGTTGGTATTCTACCACAGAGAAACATATAAGTGGCACAACTGCCCGACATGTCGGTGGCACTTGTACTTGAATGAGATGTGAAATTTCAGCACGTCTGTACGGTGTCCATAGGAACTGCATGATATGAAGTTTTTGGTTTAGGGTATAGTAATTAAGCCATCAATTGTACATTAATTTTATAACCCAATATTTGTTATGTATTTAAAATATACCTGTCGAGGTGATACGTCGTCTATTTTCTGGCGAAATTGTTTGACAGTTGTAGTGTCCTGGAATATTGACTGTGTTGTGCGACATCATCTTTTCGCAAGTGGAAAAACTGCACCAGAAGAAATCTCGTGTTCTGTGACTTCAAGTAATTCTGGTGAAAGACATGTTATTCTTTCCCATGCCCAGCACTGTAACAAGATCATGCACCCTCTGATATTGTCTTGGTCAACCCTAGTCCCGTGATCAAGGGCACGATACAAGCAGGAGAGCGTGGCTGATCCCCAACTATACTGTGAAACGTTCTGCAGGTCGGCCAATAGGGGGAGATACATCAAATGCACCATGCTTGCAGATGTATCTGGCATCATCACACTGCCAATTATTATCAACATATACGCTCTAGCGTATTGTTCAATAACCTGTTCCGTTGCATGATGAGGCAATTGGCGGAAAGTGTTATTCAACCATGACAACTTGATTCTGTTTCCCCTTACACAATTCTCAGGTGGAACATCTCCTAGTAGTTGATGACAAAATACTGTTAGGGGACCACTACTGATGCCAGTCACCACCTGTCCTTCAATAGTAAGCCCCAGTTGTAATGCAACGTCTTCCAATGTAATCGTACTTTCACCATGAGGGAAGTGGAAAGTATGAGTCTCCACTCTCCACCTTTCAACCAAAGCAGTAACAAGGTAGTGATTTATCTCCAGACTTGAAGCTTGCAAAATATGGATAAAACCTGCTCCATGTAAAATATTCTTTATTCTTTCATCAATTTCGTGGACATGCTTTGCTAACCAAATTGCATGTCTTCGAGGGCAAATGACTCGTTCATTGCCTTCCCAAATAGAATTGACGACGTGTTTATCTTGTAGACGTAGAAGGGACATATGAACGGGAAGTTGACGGGCAGTAGCCATATTAAATTTTGTGGGTGAAAGTGGGTTATTCAAGCAATGACAAAGGAGAAGTCTTTTTGGTATTGCAACTCAGATTTGAAGTGGGTAGACTAGAGGGATATGGAAGAAAAGACCATGTTTTAGGGGGTTTGGGTATTGGAACTCAGAGGACGTTGGGAGAAATGAAATGCACCCTCTACCAAATTAAGTAGAAGAATTGATTCCCAACAATCTTGAAAGTCACGGGACAGAGCACATGGAAATGACAATTGATATAATACACAATAAGTGCCCCTCAGAGATTCTTCAACCTGCAAAAAAATAAGAGAGCCATGTGAAAAAGTACAAGTATCATTCAAGGTCAGCAAATGTAAATGTAGGCATGCAAATGAATAGGAAGATGAATAGGAAATTTGGTAAGCATAGTTCAATACCATTATTGGTGGTCAGAGGAAAATGTGAAGCATGCATGTGTACCATCTCTTGTCCCGTAGCCCAATGCATCCATAAATATAATTTACATATTTCTAATGAATATTATTAAATTCATATAATACATTTTTATGAATTGGAAAAATAATAGAAGCAATTTCATAAATTTAATACAGTGTACAAATTATTTTTCAAATTGTAAAAGTCATGGGAATAGGATATTTGAAACAAAAAAAATCTGAAATAGGGAAGT